TACGCCATATTGGCATCCCCTCTTACCGATCTCCTAAAAAAAAGAACATTCCTTGGACATGGGGAGATATTCAAAACAAGGCCTTTACTGATTTAAAGACGCTACTAACTCAACGTCCTTTACTTGCACTATATGATCCTACTGCAGAAACTCAACTTCATACTGACGCCAGCAAGGAGGGTGTAGCCGGTATCTTACTTCAATGTAATGCTAGTGGAGTTTTTCAACCAGTTTCATATTTCAGTCGAAAAACCACACACGATGAACGTAAACTCCACTCGTATGAGCTCGAAACATTAGCCGTTGTAGCGTCATTAAATAGATTTAGAGTATATTTAATTGGCGTACCGTTTAAGATCCTCACTGACTGTAATGCTCTTAGATTTACTCTAACGAAACGCGACGTAATTCCGCGAATTGCACGATGGTGGGTCCAATTACAGGAATACGATTGCTGTATTGAGTATAGGCCTGGGCCCCGAATGACACATGTCGATGCATTGAGCCGCAACCCTGTCGACTGTGGGGAATTAGAATCTCACGTTCTAGATGTACTTGCCTTACAAGAACCCGAACAGAATTGGATAACCACCGTTCAATGTGCAGATGATGAAGTAAAGTCTATTAAAGAAACTAAGTAATCCTGAATCCGAACAAGTAGCCGAACTATGCAAATTATAAGCTTAAAAACGGTCGTGTATATCGAATTATCGGCGAGGAACTTAAATGGCTTGTACCTAAGGGCGTCCGTTGGCAAATTGAAAAAAAGAACCACGATGACGTGGGTCATTGCGGGTTTGAAAAAACTCTTCAACGCATTCGGAAACATTATTGGTTTGCCAAAATGAGGCGCTTCACAAAAAAGTATGTTTCGTCTTGCTTAGAGTGTGCGCATCACAAAGCAGCTGGAGGTAAGCGGAGGGTGAGCTCCACCCCATAGACAAAGTCAGCATACCTTTCCATACACTTCACGCTGATCATCTCGGTCCATTTGTAAAAAGTAAAAAAGGAAATTGTTATCTTTTAGTAATGGTCGATGGTTTTTCTAAATTCGTTAACATAACCCCAGTCAAAAATACGAAATCCATCACTAGTATAAAAGCAGTTAAAGGTGCTGAAAGGTTCAATAAAAGTAGAAAACCCGCTAAACAGTATAGCGAGGGTGACTTGGTACGTGTAGAAAGGCAAGTTCCCCGTGACGGTAAATCTCAGAAGCTTGTAATTAAATATCAGGGCCCCTATCGTATAGTGAAAGTGCTCCCTAATGACAGGTTTTTGATAGAAAATACCCCTCTGACACGTAGACATGGTCGACGCTATGAAAATATAGTAGCGATAGATAAACTACAGCCTTGGATGAGTTTTAATAGGGACTTAACATTTAGTGACACAGAAAGTGGTGACAGCGAACGTGATTAGATGATTTATATAAGTAATCCAATATGTATTTTAAAAAAAATGTAATTTGTGTTTTCATTATAATTGTTACCTTTGAATTATTATGTTAATAGTATATCTGTATCGACAATCTCTCGAACACTTGTTATATAATAAGAATTTGTTGTAAGAATCGTCTAAAAATCTTGATTTTTAAATGTAAGTTCAAGCGACCGTATTATGTATTTACTAATTTAAATTGTTTAATGTAATTAATAATACAAATTATTCCTTTCATTGAAAATGTATTTAGTTCATACCCTAGAATAAAGTTTACATTCTCTAACATATTTACTTGGTTATGTATCTAGATGTAAATGTTTTGTTGCATAAGCGAAGGGACTCGCATCAAACAGGATGGCCGAGCTGTAAGCGACATATTAGATATATAAATAATTTTGTCCTATTGTAATTATATTTTTTGTAATATTAGAGCACTATTTATATTAAAGAGTATATTTGGTCATGAGTATTGTTTCCGTTGCTACATTGTTAGGTTGGTAGCGCCAGTAGCTTTAGTTGATGGCGCCACAATACACTATGTTGGTGGCGCCAAAAATGCAGCCCTACCAAAAAGCTCCCACCATACTGCTAACGTTTCTTAATTTGTGATACTCGAGTGCTCGACATTCTGTTTGTTGGAGTCTCAGAGGACAGTGCCTCTCATCTTGCTTTACCGTGCTATCTTATCATGCAAAGTGTATAATTGTAATAAGTCTTCATATCAATAAACGAAGAACATAAGGAGTTGGAATTTTATTTCTGAAACTTCCTAATAATTACAACCACCATAACACGCACTATGAACTGGCTGACTTGTGAGAGACTTCCAAGTAAGACAGTTCAGAGTGTCACTGGCTATTTGCACCCAGATCATGGCTGAATCTCGATGGGGATATGTTACAGCGCATTTGCGGTTACGGTAAGCGCCTGGTAGAAAGCGACATGCCTGTCCCAAGCAGTTGCAGTGCCACTCTAAGCTGTAAATCGCAAAGACAAAAAGGGCACTGCCACTGCGCCCGTTACCATGAGACATAAGTTGACAAGTTCCATGTAGGTACCTGTAATTTCACCAGCACCTACAAAATCGAAACGAAGTAATGCTCTCATTACTGCTTGGCGGTAGAAATAGGTTAGGTTAGGTTAGTCAGGAGCTTACCGGCGGGGTATGAGGGACCGAGGCGAGCGACCCGCTCCCCAAGAGGTGGAGCAGGAGCGCCGCCTTGCGGCGCAGCGCATGCGGGACCGATGGAAAGAGGGCTTGGCGGATCCCCACTATGGCGCTCGTACCATAGGGGCGATCCGCCCTGTCGTCGTAGAGTGGGTAAACTGGTCCCGCGGACCACTGTCGTACCATCTTGTGCAGGTGCTGACCGGGCACGGCTGCTTCGGACACAAGGTGGCGAGAAAGGAACCGTCCCCGTCATGCCACGAGTGCGGCGCTGCGGATGACACCGCGCAGCACACCCTAGGGGTGTGCAGCCGGTGGGATGAGCAGCGCCGCACTCTGATGGGGACTGTAGGGCAGGACCTCTCGCTGCCGAGCGTGGTTGCCGCCATCCTCGATAGCGAGCAGTCCTGAGAGGTGGTGGCCTAACCTCTTGCGTGCGACATAACCTCTGCGCAAAAGGAGGCCGCGGAGCGGGTGCGCGAGGACGCGGTAGACGCGCACCCGCTCCGGCGCAGACGTACAGGGAGAAGGCGAACGCAGTTCGCTGCTCGCCTGATCCCCTAGTGAGGCCAGCGGGCTCTGGACAGGGACTCCGGAGCCTGCATTGCACGGCCTCACTCATCTGGGGGGCGGGTCGGAGGACAAACGACTCGCCTCTCCGTTGTCGCGGGAACCCTGGCGTAAGCTAGGGCGGCCGGGCGACGTCGTGGTGAATGTTCACCGATCCCACGGCGCCGACTCAACCGGCGAGAGGAAAACCCCCCGGGTTTTAGCGGGGTAGGCCCTCCAGTATGGAGGGAGAGTCCCCACGTAACCCCTTAGTCTCCCTGGGTTCAGGGGTATTCATAAAGATATCCCCCTCGTCAAAAAAAAAAGGTTAGCCAGGAGCTCTACTGCTACTAAAAATATTACGGTATATTCCCATTGTGTTAGTGATTGTTAACAATAAACATAAATCCACTTTTGTTACCGACTTATATTTAAAATAATGACAAACCAGACACGGAAAAAACTTCCAACATATTTTCAGCACTTAATCATGTCTTCTTGCACAAAAATTTGCTTAAACTTTATATCACTGCATGCCACATACAGGGTAGTTAAAGCCTATTGATTAGTCATACAGGGATAGTAACCCTAGTACTGACACCAGATTCTCACAGTGTGCATAACAGTAACAAAATTATGATTTAATACTAAAACACAAATATTAATAAGAATTGGAGTAGTTATCCTACATTTCATGATAATATGAATTCAATTGACAACAGAATGCGGCAATATTTAATCTGTTTCATATCACGAACTCATCGAATCAGCTTCTCAATTATGTCCAATAACGGTTACATATAAAACACAAACTTAACCTAATGCAGTAAGAGCGAAATTTAATACTAAACAAGGTCCTGCATAAACTCTCCACGTGACTTCTAACACCGATTATTTACAGCCGAAGGAAATGACGTCAGTCTAAGCAATTTGCGAATCATATACACGAGAGAGAAGCTCCGTGGCAAACACGTCTCAGTTCAGTCAATTTCAAATTCGTGCGCAAATTTAAAGATTAATGCGTGAAGAAGATACGTATTCTGCAACATTGTAGCTGCATACCCTTAAATAACAAAGGGCTATGCAACATCAACAATTTAATGAAAATTTCATGAAAGCGATACTGGTGAAGAGTACGTTATACAAGTAACAACAATATATTAAACAAATATAGGTACGCGATTGAGATCCGGAAAAATAGTTTCATTTCCTAAGCATTCTAATTACCAAAGAATTCAAACCATGATTTCAAGAAGTTAAAAGAAATATATTAAATAGCTTTGAGACCAAGGAACGATAACGAAACACAGAACGTACGCAGTCGAAATAAAGTAGTTTATCTAATAAGCCGACTATCTGAGAAAGGAGACTAAAGAAGTAGGATGTAAAGCTATAACAAACTGAAAGAGGCCTATGTTTATTAAGTCTATGTATACTTATGATAATAATGACTAAGATATTGACACAAATGCTTTTAATAACAACATAAGTTACAAAGTGATGCATTAACAGGCAGATCAAAACAAAAAAGCTGATATTAAGAAATAGATATTATATGGATTGCCCAATAGTTTGCTTTATACGACATATATCAAATATGCTTATGTCTATGTAATTGTTGCTAACGGGAAAAGTCAAGACAAAGAATAGATATGCTACTACAATCCTAAAAACAAAGTTAAATGATCCCGTGATTAAAAACACTTTGATAACGCATTCAGAATCAATAATATCATGGAAACACGCTGTCAGTCGAACACTTAAAAAGAGAGAGTTAATGATAAGGTTTTGTTAGAATCTGAATAAAAGACAAGATAAAAACAATGATAGAGACGAAACTAACCTCTGCTAAACACATTGTGAAGTAGAACCAGCAGCAGCAGCATGCTCGGTCGGGAAAGCAATGAACGCCAGTACGGTAACGTGCGCGCGCACCGAAATCCACCCGACAAAATGTTTGTAAACTTGGCGAAAATCAAATTTCACGCTCAGAGACGAATTTATTAATGACTGCTTCTTTGTAATTTCATGGACCCACCCGTTAAAACGAACGCACCATAGAAGTACCTATTTACACTTCGAAAAAACTGAAATAACGCACACATAAAACAGCAGTAAATGGTGTATAAGAGAATTTGCACTCATACTGTAATAATGTCACATCTTCAAAATATCAACTTTTTAGTAAAGAGATTTAAAAATTCTGCGAACGAAAGTAGTCGCACCATTTTTATTATTTAAGTAGGAAAGTTATAAAATTTCACATAATATACATATTTTATAGGAAATGAAACTATTTTTACGGATTTAAATCGCGTATATTTGTTTTTTCAAACAAACCGACGTTTCGGGCCCTTTACAGGTCTCATGGTCACGGTTGACTGAGGTGGTACAGTCTTCAATCAGTTATGTTTAATATTGATGCAAACCACCCTATGTTTTCACTATAGTTACAAAAGTTATTAATTAAGTACCTTATTTTTAATTTTACAAAGAAACATTCCAATTTACGCTACATTACGTTTCACAAACTATTTTATTGAATGAATTTTTATTAAGTTCAATTTATTATAAATTAATAATAGAAATTAGAATTAATTAAAACATATTAATTAGTACTGAAGTCTTACGTATGTTTGGGATTTTTCATCAGAGGAAATACTGGATCCCAAACTGGTGGTACGGAGAAACCATCTTCCCTGTTGAAATTAGGATGTTTTTTTAAAATTTTAATGGCCTCTCGCAGCATCCTGGATAGATAACAGACTTCTTTTGCAAGGACCTGTCAAACTTCATTGAATGTGTAGGTTTATCCATGACATGCACGCAGACTGCGAACATAATTTCAACAGGGAAGATAGTTTCTCCGTACTACCAGTTGGGGATCCTGTATTTCCTCTGATGAAAAATCCCAAACAGACATAAGACTGCAGTACTAATTAATATGTTTTAATTTATTCTAATTTCTATTATTAATTAACAGTAAATTGAACTTAATAAAAATTCATTCAATAAAATACTTTGTAAACCGTAATGTAGCGTAAATTGGAATGTTTCTTTGTAAAATTAAAAATAAGGTATTTAATTAATAACTTTTGTAACTATAGAGAAAAAATAGAGTGGCTTGCATTAATATTAGACATAACTGGTTGAAGACTGTACCACCTCAGTCAACCGTGACCACGGTACCTGTAAAGGGCCCGAAACGTTGGTTTATTTGAAAAAACAAATATACTAAATAAATAATTAAATAAATGAATATATTTCACGATTTATATCCGGAAAAATAGATTCATTTCCTATGTGTAACAATCGCGAAAACCTAAGAACTCGATATACATATTTCATTTATGTCATTCGTATTATTCTTATGACTTTAATGTGATAAAAACACTTTTGACGTTTGATGACACGAGGCCTTATTATACCAAGTACCTATACGAATTGTCGTAATTAAAAAAGGTTAAGGATGAAATTGGCAAACCTTTAGATATACGTGGTGTATCCGCTAACTCATTTTGAGACTTGAACACTGGAAACAGAACAGATTTCATTATTATGGTCCCAAGAGGAGACACTAAAAATTATTGCTGTCAAAGTATCGAATGTATTCGCACAGTCGACGACCACAGTTTGTCATACACCGATTCCACCTTTTTAATATCAATTGTAATTACTTTACAGAATAACAACCTATATAAATTTAAAGGAAAAACTTTTTATTGATGTTAATAACAACCCGTCGCCACGCACCGGCCCCGCCCAAATGCACCTCTACGGATGAGGCGCGGATGGGATTTTACCTGCGGTGCACGGGTTTCGTGCGAGGTGACCAGTAAATTCACAGACCATGGAAGGCCGCATTAAAAAATTTAAAAACATTCAGAGACATCAAATTACGAAATAAATTAAAAATAAATTTACATTTATGCAACAAAGTCCAATCGATGAATCAATATAGCACACTAAAATTATCATTTAAAATTTATTTTTGTCAATTTCGGTGATATTAATTTTAAAAGGCTTACCATTTGCAAGCACTGTGTACAACAAAAACACGAGGAAGAACATGTTGACATGGTCTTGGCATCAAATGCAGTGGGCTCGTTGCGGATGAGGCCTCACCTGGTTTCGGAGAAACGCACTAACACAGATGTTTGTAAACTATTTGAAAATTTTCACGTTTTACGCGTCAGGTACGAATTTAGAGGAAATACTTTGGGACAATGGACATAGGGACAAGTGCCTATCGAAATATAGGAAACATGCCATTCTTTTCCTAATTAAGAAGCACTTGGCAGATTCTAAGAGACACTCGCCTATATCCACTATTTTTATTTTACACTTTCTATGACATCCACGGAAGTAATCATACGCAAAGTAGTGGACGACAGAATATATGGTTGTTAAGGCACTAAGAACTTATTGACTTAATATTTTCTACCTTATAATATTCATTTGTTTACAATACAATATTAATAGGTTCGTACGATAATCTTTTTCACATATTATGTTTTCCACTTATAAATATTTCGCTTGCAAGAAAATTTTTTTGATTGTTTATTTTCAAATTTTTTATCGGTTGTTTTATTAACTGTTTAGAAAGTCTATCATGAAGAATCTACGGTACAACTGAACCTGATTTGTTTTAAGTTTAAAAGATTGTATACACGTTCCTAGTTGAATTGTAATGTAATTAGTCAACAAAAACTCGAACAATGAACTTGCAACAATATACAGGGTGATGAAAAAACCTTTGACCATTTTAAACAAGCATACTGTATAATGGAAATAAAAAATACATGCTCGTTTTTTTTTTAAAACTTAACAAAGAAATAAGTTATGACGTCTCAAAGTTTTCCGAAAAATTGTGAACAATATTGACACCCAATGATTAGCAGACGCCGTTGCTATCATATCAGCGCGCGAGTTTATGTATTTGACAGACAACAAAGTATTAAACTAACGCGCGATGCGTTACCGCAGGTCTGTCGTCGCGCGGCGCGATGTGCTGGCGCCTAGGCGTCTAGACAACTCGGGGACGATCGCTCAATTTTATTTACTATTTTGAGGTAACCACGCGTTATATTAACATTAAAAAAATAGATTTTTTTGTTTTATTTCAGTTATGTGTTCTATTACTGAAACTTACGTACAGGAAAAAAATAGATAGTGATTTCTTTTAGCACCCTGTATAAAAAGTATATCACTTCCATTGCGTAACAAATAAGACTGAAATTTGTTTATTAGATTATCAGCAGCAATATTATTAAAAAAATACTAGAATTTTGACATACAAATATAACATATTTTTTAACATTAGTCCGCACACTGGTTTTCTGAAAGTGGTTCTAGAATAAAAAAATAAGCACATAAATCAAAATGTAGATAGATAATTGTTGATACCAAACTAATATAGCTGATAACTATACAGTGTGAGATTGATACAATACCTTCTGTCTAGAAAAAGTAATTTGCTACGGTGTTAGTCGAAAGGGCGCATGTGACAAAAACTCGTAATCGAGACAACAATGTTTAAAGAAATTAATTTGAAAAATATCTACTTTTCCCTTGCGGTAACTTCATACCTTATCCACCTACGACAAAATGAAAATAGTGACAGATCCCTTTCATCCAATCGGCCTTTACTGATCACGACAGTGACATAACGATTTTTTTTTTATATCACAAGCGCCCTTTCAACTAACATCGTCAGTATTCTAAGCGAAGGTTTAAAATCTATGTAGATGTAATTACAAGTTTTAGACCCAAACGTGTATTTTGATATTTGTTTACATAGTACAATTTGATTAATTTTAAAATTTAATTTTTTTATTTAAAACTTTTTAGAGGTTCTAATAATTTTTTAGCAAAATAATATAATGAACTATAATTAAAGCTGACGGTAACCTTTTTCCAATAATTGGACCGTCTGTTTTTATAACCTTTGGTCAATCGTATAATATGAGCAAAAAATTAAAAGAGCAAATGAGAAAAGAACGAAATCTTCAATTCAAGTTTGAAATTTATCCACTGAATCCGGCCTGAAATCAAATCCGTATTTGGCAAACAGCAAATTACCTACATTCCAATTACGAAATCAGTCGTCAAACGCCATCAACGAGAATGCGTGTGATTGTTTATTTATTTGTCATCCATACCGTCACAGGTGAGTCGTTACATGGCTAAACAATAAACAACATTGTAGTTTTGCATACCGATTACGTGTATTCAATTTGTTCATAGGTCCATGAACGATTTTTTTGGAAATAATATCATGTCACAATTACTAATGGACCTTGAAATGGCGGCTATACTATTTACAATGTTCGTGTTGAAGAAAAAAATTATTCAGGTGCACGGCGTTAGCTTTAAGAAAAAAATAATTGCTTAATCATCACTTTAGAAACCTCTTCAGACTTATAATAGTCCCAACCTGCATTAGGCCATAATAGTAAATTGTAGCCCAAGTATGCCTCCCTGCGGAACACCGTTATACGTTATATTCCAAAAGGTAACTTCTCCTTTTAATTGCAGCATTATTGCAATGACCACCCTTTTTTTTTTTTTTGACGGGGGGAAATCTTTATGGATACCCCTGAGCCCAGGGAGACTCAGGGGTTATGTGGGGACTCTCCCTCCACACTGGAAGGCCTACCCCACTAAAACCCCCCCGGGTTTCCCTCTCGCCGGTTGAGTCGGCGCCGTGGGATCAGTGAACATTCACCACGACGCAATGACCACCCTGCCTACGTTCCAATCACATCAAATCGTTGTTTTTGGAGAAGTCTATAGACTTAGCTATAGCTTTAGTAGTGAAGTTTCAAATTTGCATTTGATGCAAAACATTATGTTCGACATAAAGCAAAAAGGCCAATTGATATGATTCCCTTCGCTGCCTCGACACGTGATTGGTGGAACGGCGGTAATAAAAGTAGCTCTGTTCTATAATAATATTTGCATTACACCGCTATTAACCAATTGCGATCGATTGTGATTTTTCCGAAGCATTTGTAACACGCGTTTGGCGTTTTAGAACACGGTGCGGCGATTGGAATTGATTTAATAAAAAAGATCAATTCCAATTGAGTCTGGTCAAAAAAGTGTTTTTAACCGCAAGTTCAATTAGAATTTACTTACATATACAATTTATTTACTTAAATATCGTAAGTTAGACCTGGAACCACATAGCCTGTCAGCCCATTTAATTCAGCAGGGTTCTCATCAAAATATTCAATTTAAATATTTAATACATTTTACAGCGGCGTGGGTGAAGCCTCAGCCCCTTCCGTACAAGTTCTCGTTGGATCTGGGTTTAGCGTTCCGACGTACGGGAACAAACAAGGCCTGCGAGGTGTGCTTTGGGGGTGAATACTGCATCCAGGTTGAACAGGTCAGGTAAGACTAGAACTAAATTACTACGTTTTAGAGTGTACTCCTCTGCATAGGTCTGCCGTTAAATTAATCTTAATTTTTTTTAACGACAGGCAGGCAACATTTCATTTTCATATACATCCTGCATAACAAATGCCATATATCAAAAACCAACTTTCGAAGCGTCACATGTATACGAGTAGTACACCACAATAAAATAGCTTGTCTTCGTCTGTCGTCGTATAGTTATTTGAAGAGTGTATAAATTTAAAAAAATCATGCCGTGAACTAGAAACATATGAATATCTTATGAAATAAGTGAATTCACCAAATTGTGAAGTTTGTAATAAAATTTGAAGACGTCCCACACTTGTTGGCCGAATGTACCAAGAACGAAAGCCAGCGACAACTACTGATGTTCCTCTTACAGTTGAACTGCTCCAACGTCAACTTCTTCCAAGGGATTCTGTCTGAACCCTTGTCAAAATATACAAAAATGTTATGTGACATGGTAAATCGGCGATAGTTGACGTAGTACTTTTAATGCAATAATAATATAAAAAATAATTAAAATACGCTTTATGGTCACGGCCGGTATTCACGGGTAAAATTTTTGGTGTAAAGCGCTAATGAGTAATACGATCTTAACAGATGTGAATTCTACTTGGAGACGTCAAACTTGCTGCTCGAAGAAATAAACATCTCTTCAGAGTCGAAGGAAAACCTACCGCTCAAGTCCAGGGTGGATGACATACTGCATATTATAGCGGAGAAAGGTAGTGTCTACATCAATGAAAAAAGAAGCTTTTGGCCTCCTTTAACGTATGTTACGCGATAACTCCGGAATTTGTGAACCGGTTTTCATGATTCTTTTTTGTTGGAAAGGAGGTACTTCCATAGTGGTCCCATTTCATTTTGAAGAAAATCATCCACCTCTAAGGGAGGCTGTTCACGCATGAAGATTCATTTTTATAAATAGCGCCTAAACTTTAATTTAGGAGCATTATTTTAATGGTTGATTTTGCTATTTCTCCAATTCAAGGCGTTTTTTTTTCAATATACTTTGAGTAGTGAGAACCGATTTTTATCATCTCCAGTGTCAAGTCCTGCATAGTGGCGAACTAGGGGATATTTCAATAAAACTTATCAAATACACATAATTCCACATACTTTTGAGGTCGGTTTTTTTAGTACTCTATACTGATTAAAAAACAATTTTACTTCAGGGTTAACGGATTTCGCTGAATGCGTGCCACTTGTGTCTCGCTACACCGATTGTACTAAAGGTAAAATTTCTTTTATATTCTAAGTACATACAATAGTATTTAGATTGTTAGCTATGGACGGTATGGTTGATAACACATTATTCGTACTGTCATTTTTAACTGGATTGTATAACATGCCACGTACAATTGTTTAAACATACACAGTTACTCAACATTTCCAAATCAATGTACACATGATTTGAAACGATGCTGTTGGATAAGCTAAAGCCATTGCAAAATTCAGAAAGTTAGCACACAGTAGTTTTAAGGATATGGCTGCATATGTTGTCGAACACTTTCACTTTCATGTGCGAGTGACACATTAATTGATTTTTCGAATTTTTCGTTCATCTTTCGGTGTTCAATATTAAACATGACTAAGACACATATCTTATGACAGAAAACGTCTGCCTGGGCTGCAAAACGTGCACATGCGATACTATTGGGCGCTGGAACTGCTCTGAGGTACAGAAATGTAGGCCTGACACACTGCCTTTAAATGTCGACCACCACACTCTTTTGATCGTCTTGCAAAACTTAAAGAATCGTAAGTCTTTACTTTCATTCTTTTAACTTCATTTAGTCCATATAGGGTATCTATTAAGCTCTCTGTTTGCAGAGAACGCAGTGATACCAGGTTTATACTTTTACTGATTCAAACTAAAAATTTCGTCCTAGCCTTAGTTCACTCAATAACAAGTAATTTAACAATGTCCATATATATTTCAGTTATAAGTCCGGTTATGAGACGCAAACGCGCTATCCATCATCCACAAATCGACTATGATATAGTCACCCGAGCAAAACTCTCAGAATGGCTATACGGAGCTCCTCCTCTCAACATTTTTGAAACTATCCTGAGCACAGTCCACCAAGCTGCAAGTGATGAAGACAGAGAAACCTTCATGGCAGATAATAAACTAAGCGAACGTAAAGATCATAACGACGAAATTTTAAAATATATAGTGAATTCTATAGTAGATGACGCTCTACCAGAAGTGTTCAGGGAAAGTATATCTGAGAAAGCTAATATGAATAGAATCAAACGTTGGACAAAAGAAAATAGTACTGGTAATATTGATATGAAAGACATAACTGAATGGCTGACAAAAATGCCTCCAAATGAACGTACAGATTCTGAATCAAAAAGTGATATCGTGACAACTCCCAATAACGGTGAGCCACTGAATAACTTATTTATCTTTAGTAGCAATAGAGCTCTTTATGAAAGACTTCGTCCAGGGAAGTTCAGCCACCGCACCTGTTTCTGCAGTCAAACAGTAATGTGCAAAGTGAGCATTATTTCGTTTGGTTTTTGAACAGTAAGGACGCTGGTTTAATTACAGACAATATTATGTCTCAGAGTGACAAGTTCAGTAGCAGTGCCTCTCAGGTCTTTACGATTTAAAGCTCTGAATGGCACTCCCAACTTTTATGGGTAGGTTTGTCATTTACCACTTCCCGCCACTGATATCATAAAAACAAAACAAAAATAGTCTCTAAATGCAGGTGAATCTACTATGTCTTGCATTATTTTATTTCTATATTATGTGCTCAATAAGAACACAGAAAAATGTTTGACAAGCACGTTATTAGTTATATCAACTTATTCCAAAATAAAATTACTTTTTGATTCTAAAACAAATAATGTCTCGGTGACAGGAAATTTAGTATTGAAATTATTATATCTATCAATTAATCTACAATTAACAATTGCCATTAATAAATTGTTACCAGATTATAGAAAAATCCCAGGAAACCAGACGTCTTCGCCACCAGACAACATAGAACCCGAGTTCCTAACATTTGACGAAGTGCTAGATAACATTGCGTTTGAGAACAAAAATTATAGCCGTCGGAAGCCTCCACTGGATATGCATTCAGAGATGCCAGTTGACTTTATATATGATGACAATGTGGTTGACGAAACAGACTTTCCTATAACGAAAGATCCAGTGACCGAAACTCCAACAGACGGCACAACAGTCGTTGAATCTTTAATTGAAAGTTATACGGAAGTTGTCATCGATTTGCTGGAGTCTGCCAATGAAGGAGTAAAACTAGATGATCTTATTTTAAAAGGTCAGTATTGTCACTGAAGTTGGATTTATAAAATGTTTATTGACCTCTTTTGTTTCATTTTCAGATAGTATAGAGTCCAAAAATATAGCTAGTAACGATTCGAATGATTCATTCTTTGACAATTTCAATAACATTGAAGATCTGGAATCATCGAATATTATGAAAAAGAAGAGAGAAGTGCCATTGATTACAAGTAACATAACAACCACTTTAACACCCATTACAAATCGAACAAATATAACTACTACAGCAAGTGTAAATAAAACTATTGAAACTATAACAGTACATCCAAACATAGCTCATTCTGTTTATGAGCTTGTAAATAGCGTTGTTCTTCCTCTGAATGATGTTTATAACGAGTTACTTAAAAAAATTAATGATTTACATCGAATAAGGGGACATCTTTTAAGTTTCGTCCACAAAAATGTAGATATTGATGCCAAAGTCAAAAACATAACAACTCTTAATAAGAAGGTATTCCCTGTTTATAAAATAGAAGATCCACAGTTTCAAGTCTATTTTAGAACTTCCAAAAACATTTCCATGTATGAAAAATACGTCCGTAAATTAAAAAAAGATGTTTATGAGGTAATTCGGGACATTGTTGGTATCCAAAAACATTTTTCTAACCCATCTAAAATGCCAGATGATCTGATATTTTTGATTAAAGCTATGAAGCATTATGTTCACAAACAAGGTATACATTCGAAAAGAATTAGTGCTAACACTAATGCTAATCTTTTGAAACTAAATGAAACAAAATTAAATTCAAGACGCTTGATGAAAATAAACGATTTAGCGACCTCTAAAACTGTAAGAGAATTAATTATACAAATACTTGAGCTTATTGATAAACGTATGCCATCCAAAAATGCATTAGGACCAATATCCAAACCAGCTAGAAAGATTATGTGTAGAATAATCAGACAATACTTTGTGGACGAGTTTGCACTGATGGGCCTCCGAGTTTACGATCCACATTACAATCTTACCAACGACTTAAATAACGTAGGCTTCAAGTGGCGCAAATTGTCTTCAGAAATTAAAATGAGCGCATCTAATAGCCAATTGTACCAGTTAAAGATGTTGCACTTAGTAATGTCTGTTGATATCAATAAAATGAACGACGCTTTAACATTAATCAATTTTGCTAGTACTAGACGGATGGTGCCCGTTGACGAAGCCATTGGCCATGACATACTACTCAACATAGAAAAACGTATGCTCGATTTAAGCAAAAAAGTTGTAACAATAATAGAAACCACTCTACATAAGAAAAAAACACAATATAGTAGTCTTAAAAAACAAATAAAAGATTCCAATAAGAAAGAATCATTCTTAAAACAAGTGAAAACCTTTTTAATGAATTCAAAGAAGGACATAATGGACCTATTGCGAAGGAACACACCAAAGTCTGACATAGTGAAAAAGATTGCTGGACAGAAACTGGATGACTTGGGAAAGAAACGGCTAAATCAATTGGAAAAGACAATGACGAAATGGCAAACACATTTGAATATCATACCGAGTAGGTCAAAGAGATATGCTGTGGACTTTGGTAGGATACGACAACGAATTAAAAACATAATACCCAAATACTTACGAGGCAAACTCAATCCTGCTATAGATAACAATAAAAATAATAAGAAGGGAAGGGCGACTATGAAACCTGATGATTCTTCGCGTAAGTAAAATAACATTCGTCAGTTTGTTCGTTTAGGTCATATAATAGTTCAATTATCCTTTAGTTTCTTTGAATAAAATAGCAAAATAGCAAGTCTTTACACATTTACTATTTACCTATGCTGAGATTACGAGCCCGCCAGTAGAATCTAGTGTATACGTTCTATGTTCGGACTTAATATTTCTTTCATTCATGCACAGAAATAATGTTACTTAATGTGTCATTAACCTAGGTAGCTTTTAACCATTCACAGTCAAAAAAAAGAAAACGACTAAGGCACCCAAAACAACAAATCATGCGAATATCATCACAAAATCGAAGAGACAAAACACTAAAACGACGCCAATCATAGCGAAGGCCTCTACGACTATCTCCACTACACAGATATAGCAGACAGCAACACCTGCTGAGTAAAACAACATTGTAGCAAACATTGAAAGAATCATAGCACTTAAAATTGCAATGAACGGCTTATTACATTCCATTATTATGTAATGGGAAATAATAATAACAATTTGTACTATTTTTTTTATTTGCACAGAGTACTAATTAAGCTTAAGACCATTGTATTAAGTTAAGGCTTCTATAAACTATATTCATTTTATCTCTTTGAATCACTATACACAGCTGAATTTGTACTTAAAGAAGTAGCTATTTTTACTTATCTACGACACGTTATTGTATGCTTGGAAATTATGCTCTATCTTAATAAAGTACAACATTGAAAGTTTCTTTACATTGAATTTATAACAGAGGCTCTCTGAGATAAATGAGGAAATTATGCAGAAAAGTACTCTCAATGCAGTATTAATAAAACCAAACGTGGCGCTGGCGGACATTTAGTTCAGTTTCAATGAACTCAATAAACATATCCGAAAATGTTTTAATATTACGTTTATAATAGTGTCAGTCAGGAAGGAAACAAAACCATTAAAAAGTCTTGATCACGTTATTTTTATTAGAAAAAATATAAAAATTCAATATAATCATAAAATCTACTATTTGACCATTTTCATATTCTTGAACTCCAGCAGCTGTTTCAGCATAAAATCTCTATTGAGTACCTTGTACTTTTTTGAGTTACCCAGTAGATCTTGAAAGTCTACCAGAGGAACCTTTTCAGCGATAGATTGTCGTCGACTGTTTTCCAATTTTACTTTTGGAGGCACTGAAACGAGACACAATTCAACCAATTAATCTAGTTAGAATGATTGGAAACCAGAGTTAAATAAAGCGACAGTTTTTGTTCAGCCTAAAATGTAATTTCGCAAACAAATGTTCTTTATTTGTGGTCGCAATTATTTATTGCATTTGCCTTCTGTTTGTTTAGTAATCAAAGTAGCATTTAAATGCTTTGAGTAATTCAAATGTACTGTCATTAAGAGGAAATGTTCACTGGTTTGAGGTAACCTCTTTTTACTTTTTCCAACGCAATCAACGCAGCCTGATATTAAATGTATTCAACTGTAACATGCCCTGATGATAATAATTTTGTCGAAACATAAATAACATAATAAATAAAAATGTATATTATCTTACCTTGCATCTGTTTAGGTTTTACAGGCACTGCGGGCTTAATGTCTGACGTCTGCGCGAAAGCTTTGTACAATTCTCGTGCTATTTCATAATTACCAAGCTCTATGTTTTGCAAAATATTTCTTGCTATATTATACTTTAGGGCTGTTTTGTCCCCACGTTCCTTTTTCGCCTGTAAGTATAATTCTATTCTGTTTTTCACAAGCTGATTTAATACTTCTTCTCTGGTAATAGATACTGGTTTCTGTACTTTCTTGTTGTCCTTGCTTTTAAATGAAGTCTGGATATTTAAGTTTTCAGGTGGAGGAGTTCTGTAAGGTTTCTCATATTTGTTCAATGAGAAAGAAGGTCTTTGAACCTCTATTTTTTGGGATATATCTTGTTTAACTTCATCAGAAGTAATGCTCTTGAAATTATTTAATATGACTGGCATGGCTGGTATGGTCTTGTTTTTCATTTCCAAGCTAAATACAATTTTGTTATCTAAATTAATTTTACTTGCAGCATTTTCCACAAAGTTGAATATCTCGGTTTTCTGCTGAGTAGTTGCATCTTTCAAAATATCTATAGACGATTTGATGGCAGGCAACACTTCTAAGTACTTATTTACATCTAAGTAAAGTGTTTGCAATAACATCAACTTATCTGCAGGTGGCACTTCATGGTACAAAGCGATGATTTTATACGTATTAGAACCATCTACAGTCTCAATATTATCTATCATTTCCTTTAATTCATCATAAGTTTTCGATGGTACGATGTCTTCATTTCTACGGAGCGATGTAACCTCCATGTCATCCATTGATTTGACAAATCGTTCCCAAACAAGAGCTGATTTGGGTCTTGGTTTATATAAGTCAATTTTGCTCATACGTCGGTTGTCTTTTGGTGTTTGTTCTTTCAATTCTTTTTTTAACGAGTCAAATATGGCAGCTATTCTCTGCATAGGGTTTATAATTGTGGTAGTTGCATTTTTTTTACGTATGACGCCGTCTAGTTGTTTATCAGCTTGTAAAATATTATAGATACAAGGAAGAGCGTCTGCAATTCTCAATTCCCCGTCTTTAGTATTTATACCGTATTCTCTTTGTAATTCCACTAAATCTTCCAAAATTGCTTTAAGATGACTTTTGAATTTAGCTTTAGTATCCTCAAACTTTTTAACGTTTTGCATAGTAGTTAATGATATGTCCGTAATGGCTTGATCTGTTGCAATCTCTTCTTCAACTTCTCTTTCTTCTTGTTCAAGAGCATTTTGTTTTGCGGCACTTTCAGTAATCGACTGATCTACTGTAGTTTCATCTATCAATGCTTCGACTGTTTTGGGGTCGTCACCCACAAGTTCCTCATTTATTTGATCATCAACAGCTGTCTTATGGCCCTTGGGCGCTACTGTAGTTAATGTTTCTATATACGTTTCTGTTAGTTCTTCCATGGACCTCACTACTGAGAATAATGGCGAACGATACATCTCCGTGGTACTTTCTTTATTCGAATCCAAATGCTTTAGTAAATCCACAAAAGATTTAATCTTAAAAAATTCAGACAAATTGAGTAGTATATCTCCTTCCACACTTAATCTTGTTTGAGGGGGTTCCATTTCTTCGGTTAAAATGCGAGGATTACTTTCAAGTTTTGTCAAGTAATCTAGAATTAACTTATCTTTTATAGACAATGTCGCGTTACCGAGATCATACTTATACAACTCCTTAATTTTTTGTTTTATTTTATTTTCGTCAGTAGTATATATATTTTGTTTAGTTATTTTCTTCGCTAATTTCTTCCCTATTTGATTTGGAAGCAATAACTTAGTTATTTTCGATAAAAGGTTACCAAATAAGTTCAGTGAATCATGATCATCAGAACTAACTTCTTTGATTGTTGGGTTATTGACCTCAGGCACCGTTATTTCTTTTATAGCTGTCTTGTTATCTGTATTAGGAATGTTTCTCTTAAGGTCATTCAAGTGTTTATTAACCGCCTCATATTTCTTCACTAAATCTAAAACTTTATTTATTCTAGATATTGCTTCTATAGTACCATTAATTTTATTGTCTTCAACGTCATGTACATGTTCACAACCGATCGTTTTTGATGTATTGGATTTATGTACAGGGAATTGCCAACTTGAATTCCTAGCATCTTCTAAGAGACGTTTCACTTCGGCAATATTTTCACACATAGTTATATTGTTAGGATCTAGATTTTGGTCCATAGCTTGGGAAAGTTTTTCTAAGGCGTTCTTTAATACTAATTCCTGTCTTAGCGTAAGAGGTTCCTTAAACAACTCAATTAGGTCGTTAATTTTTTCGTGCTTTAACTTTTCCAATTCTCGCATATTAATTTCTTCACTATTGTCTTTTTGCATGCTCCATAATTTATTTAACAAGTTCCCGGCAATAAATGCCATTGCTGTTAGAGTATCGTTTTCAGGTGTAAAAGTAATATTAGACATTATTGGACCGTTTTCGTCGCCAATCATTTCTTTTCCACTTTTAAGTTCATTCACAAGAATCTTCGATAGCTCTGCGTCCTTTTCCTTCTGAGTTTGATTAGTGACTATTCCAATTTCAATGTCTTTCTTAATAATTACTTCGGGGTCTTCAGTGTGTTCTGTCTCATCGATTTTATTATCAGCAATGTGTTGATTATATATTTGCTGATTGTGCTCAATTTGCAAAGGGCGGTCTTCAGTTCCATTTGTAATGTTTAGGTTGCTTTGAAAGCTTGTTCTTCGAGAAGAATAAATATTTGCAGCAATTTTCGACGCCCGAAGAGTTCCGGTTATATTTGTGTGCTTTAGAGTATCTGAAATGTATAACAAAATTTAAAATCATTTGGCTAGCTACTTTGAACAGCATGAAACGGAATCGAATATTAAAACTTTTGTAATGTATGTCCGAATATGCGTCCGAATGAGTGCTTGAACTTAACTACTTAATACTTGCAAGTAAAATAGATGGTAACTTACTCTCATTCATGTCATCGACAGTATTATAAAACTTGATGGTTTGATTCAAATTCTTCTTATCCTTAGATAGTTTGATTGAAATGGGAGACTTAATAGCATCTCTTTTCGCACGCGGTTGGTTCATTAAATCAACGATTTTCTGCTCAATTTCATCATTTGCATCTAGAAAAACGCCATCTTTACAAAAATGTTCTTAAAACTGTCAATAACTAAAAGCCAGCTTACCTGAATATCTGAAAGGATTTTATGTTAAGAAAAGAAGAAAGAAATAGGTGCAACGTGCAAATTTATTCAAAAGAGTGCATCCGTGTATTTATTCAGGTACAGCAATCATGTAACCTGAAAATAAACTGAAAATGTACTCGGGTTTCCTGTAGAAAAATAAAACCAGCCAAACTGATAACAATTATAATATATGTTCCTCAACTTGAGTCTGGAGGTATACGATTATTTTAATAACGCTGAGACAAATACATGCACACATTACAAGTACAAGGTATCATCAGAGAAAAATGAAGCTACTAAATCGACAAGAATACAGTTACATCTTCTACTTCTTGTCTTGTTGGTGTAAATAACATTCATTTTTTTTCATCACCTCTAATAGTACACGTAAGTGACCTAACGGTTGCCATGCTACACTGCCACGCAGAGGTCTAGGATTCGATTTCCGGGCCGGGAGAAGTATTTGTATGACCCACATCTATTTCTCTCGTGTGTTTGGGTGTAATTTGTGGTTGTCTGTGTGTGTAGCCATGGCACCCGCGATACAAGGTCTCCCTAGTGCGGGGCTATGAGTGTGTATGTTATGTTATTATTATTATTATTATTATTATTGTAGATGTTTTTCCCTCTCAGCCTGTTGACTGGTTTTAACAGCATCTACGGACCGAAATCAAGTAAATGCTGTAGGGCTTGTATGTATATGGTGAGAGTGTACTATTATTATTATTATTATTATTATTATTATTATTATTATTATTATTA